TAGTTTCTCCGTTAATTTGTTAGTATCGGGAATATTTTGGAAACTAGCATACTATATACATAGGCATGACTAGGGATATGATTCTTTTGGACGCAGTACAAAATACACAACTACAGTTCTTTAGTGACATATATCAGATATATTTTATATGAATATGAAAGAGGATTCATTATCTATAAGGGGTTGTTTGGTTCATTTCCATAAAATTATGGAAATGTATTCTCTGACAAGAAACCATATTTAAAAAAAAATTTAGGATTTCTAAGGAATCCAAAACTTGTGTTTGATATGGAATAATAAAGTAAAGAATAGGAATTTAAAGCATATTCAAAACTCATGTTTGTTTTGTTTCAAAAAAGATATGAAAAACAACCTCTTAAATGAATTGGGTATTTGCCCAGAAATCTGCAACTCTTCTAACTTCTCAAGGCACTTGAGTGAATTGAGTATTTGCTCAGTAAGCAAATTATTCGAAAGGGTCAAAGATCTTAGGCTCACAATGCTAACAAGAGACAAATGGATCGAGCTCTCAAACTTGTTCATGGACAAATCCAAGTACACAAGCTCGACCAAGTCCCCAAATGAAGAAGGATCGAATAGATCCATGAAACGAATTGGAAGAAAGATCCAAACTTTGTAATGAAGTGAGCTTAGAGATCAGATAGATGTTACCTCTGAGCCCCAGCCTTGAGAGCTCAATCTTGTCAACAAACTAGGTTGATTTGTTGCAAGTACACCTCGCCAGCAGCATAATCTCAGGGTTCCCCTCATAATTCACCAATTTCACAAGCAAAGGCCCCGCTATTGCCATCGAAAACCCTAGATCAGCATCATTCACATAAAAAGGCAAAACCTTGCAGAGCTCCGTCAAGGACACGAGCATGATGCTGGGGGCCGCATCGCCGGCAACGATGTGCTGGAACTTCGACTTGGATGCTCCGTGGTTGGCCGCGTCCGAGTCGGAGGAGGGAACGAGAAAGAGAAAGTTGAACCAAATGACAGTTCTGAAATCCTATAATGTCAAAAAACCTACTTTTTGTTCTAAAACTGTAAGATTCCTAAAAATGTGGCCCAACCAAACAGCCCCCAAGTAGCAAGGACATCTAAAGGACAAAAGAAACACTCCAAAAGATGATAGTTAATGTTGATGACGATGAAAATAATGGCTCAAGAATTATGTGTAGATTATAAGATAAACTCTTCTTTAAGTAGATGTTTGTTGTAATCAAAACTTCTATCGCTTTAGTCATTATGGAGTTCTAATTAATTAATCTAGCGATTTGGATGTCATATATAGGTGCCTAAATCTCTAATCATTACATCAAAACTTTGACATTATGATGAGGTTGAGGATTATAGTTTTATATTCTCAAATGCTCCGTATAAAAAAATCTGTTTTATATTCATGAAAAATAAAATTTGAACCTGAGTTGCTCTGATATCATGTTAAAGTTTCTAACCATTATGTCAAAACTCCAAAGTTACAGAAAGTATTGAGGGTTGTTTTATGTCCCTTGCCTATTGCACTAGGCAAGGGCATTAATAATATCATAGAGAGATAATCAGGCATCTTCATATGATTCTCTCAGCTACTCATGATCATTTTCTTCAGTTACCGCAATAATAAAAGGTCTGAAAGAGATTCAAGCTATGCACCCAGATCTCTATAGCTAAGCTGACCAAAGCGAAAGGAGTGTTGTGTCTCCACAGAGCCCACCACTGAGGTTTGCTGACCTGTTTGTATTTATTGCTTTACAGTGAGAGAACCAGATATATGACTCCCTTACCACCCATTATCTTTTGTAATGAGACAAATAGTAGTACAAGCTCTTGTAGTATTGTCTACTACTAGTATAGGTTATTAAAACAGCCCAGTAATTTTTTTGGTGATTCCAGTAAAAACATTTTCTTTTCTACGGTATAAGTTTTGTTGGCACTTCTCTTCTCTTTCTTTTATTTAACCTAGGTTATAATGTATTGCTAAATTTATCAAGGTCCCCCATTAGTACTCCTCCAATTAATGCTTTATCACTAATTTAATCAGCCCAAAGCTATTAAGATCGTATACGACTATATTTCAATTCTTATCACAATTTAAAGTTCCTGATGTTGGAGGAAATGGATTTTAAGATGGTAGAATATATAGTGATTGAGATTCAAATTTCATTTGAGACATATTTAAAATGGAACTAAGGAGAAAATATTGCATTGTAAAGTAGTTAGATGGACATACATAATTAGTATGTTAGAGAATAAATGTATACTCCTCATTTCCTACTATATAACATCAGGAATTTGATATAACTAATGGAAGCGACTATTTAAAAATTTACGACTATATGAAACTTCAGTTAAAAATTGAAGCAGGTAATATTTTTTTTATCATTTTTAATTGTAGAAAAAGCATTAACATAAAACTAATTACATATCTATTTGGGTCTAGCGGAGTTCTCCTATAAATAGTACGTGTAATGCCAGGTCACGGGTTCGAGTATCTTGGAGAGCACCTATAGCTAGTTCACAAGGTTCGACTCTCTTGAGGACCACCTATAGAAAATTAATTTCATGGAGTATCTGAGACTTTCGATCGCCAGTGCATTTCTTGTAGATCTCATTGCACTTCTCTAATTGCGTCACTAACCTGTATGATTTTTGAAGTACAATGCTTATCATTCGAAATGAGGTGAAAATTAGCTATTGAAAAGAAAGCTAAAAAATGATTGTAGATTTATATCTAAAGCCAGATTAATATTTTTAGTGTTTTCCAATGCTTAGTCAAACCTTTTTATGGAAACATGAATGCACATCAGTACTAAATTCCTAGTTGATCTGCATCTCGTACTTGTTTTCCTTGTAATTATCAATAGGTTTATATATACATATATATAGCTCGCCCAGTGACCCACAAGGTACTACAGTGATCTCTCTAGAAAAAAAAAAGAAAAAAGAAAAAGAAAACTGTATATATATTTAACAAGATAGAGATAAAGTTAACTAACAAATGAAAATAGAAAATCTAGGCTAACCCAACTTAGTTAACCAAATCATGTAGTGAAAACTTTACCCTGACTGACTTTTGACCGTAACTAATTAATTCGCATTTAATTAACTGAATCATGTGAAAACTAACCCAACTTCTTAACTCTTAACCCCCCAACTCACATAAACTACTCCGAACACACGTCTTGTTCACATTGCTTACGTTCTCCGGTTTGCATGGGATGCATGAAACTCCCCCCTGTATCGATCTATACGACGGCATGCGCGCGCGTACTCGGATCAGCCCGCTTTCACTCCGCCGTACCTCTTTCACCCCTCCCCCCACCCTAAA